GATCTAAGAACACTCCCTCTTCTGAGGATGACAGTTATGTAGGCTCTACCGTTTACATAACCAAATCTTAACATAATGTTAACCAAAACATATCATGTACAATAAATGAGACATTTCTGCTGTAAAATAGGATGTGTATAATCAAATGTATCCTGCACATCACCTATCATTCAATGATTTAAATAATGTATTGTTGTTAACAGATATGGACTGTCTTTGAAAGGTTTTAATCTAGAAGTGGGATTATATAATGTTTCAGCCCTTTTGTCAGGGCTGATCAGTTTATGATCATATTGTTGAATTGTACAGTACTTCAAAAGCAATCTGCTTCTAGCAAGGGGCCTATTCATTTTTCTATTACTTAAAGAATACTTGAGGGGGAGGTGAGAGAAATGTTACATTGTGTTGTTTTGTATTGTTTTCTTAAAGTTTTTCTTTTTGAAAAAATAATTTACATAAAAATGTGTTCACAAAAAATGGCGTTTTGTTTTCATCCAGCTGAGAGATGGTCTCCTAGTGTTATGTTTCCAAGGACTGAAAGCAGCTTTGTGCAGCTGGAAAAAAGTGCACATAATGCAAATGTGCATTAATGCCAGTAAAGTCAAAGACCTTAATATTAATGGATACACATATAAAAGCATGTTTATGGGTTTTTTTTTGTCCCAAGAGGTTCTAGTCATGCAAAGGAGATTTGACCAATAGTATTTTTCCCCTCCATTATACTCATAGGTCCAGACATGTAATTATAATGATACCTCTCTATGTTAGTGATACTGTAAACACAATAGATATTTTAATAGTATGTGGCCTTACAAGTGTGGGTTGCAGTTGATATATTTCTGCTAAAGCTATTGAACTTATTTCTAAATGGTTTAAGGGTGCTGGCCTAGTTCTACTTGTGACTCAGTTTTTGCAAGAAGACATCATGATCAGTTTGAAGATCCATGTAGCATCTTAGGTACTCTGGATTCATCTATCTTTGCATAGGAATTAATGTAGCTTTTTGATTATATATTTTAATATATAAATATTTTCTCTTGACTTATGAGAACAGAGAAAGCTACAGTAACACAGAGGACCACATCTCTTGATGTTAGTTTGAACCAGAATAGTTTCAAGAAAGTTATTAGAATGTCTAAGGCTAAGAGATGATCGTATTGCCTACTACTTAATTATGTTATCTAAAAGTATACCATATATTATTTAACATCTGATATGAGAATGTATGGAACTACATAAAAACCAGGAAACATAATACTGGCAAAATTAAGAGTCCGTACAAATGAGGCCAGTGGGTCAACTGCTGTTTTAGGGTCAGCAGATTTTGGCACTAAAGGGTACATGCCACGTGTATGAAACAAATATTGTTATTCCATGAATTCATTGGAATTCCTTTTATTTGTTAAAACATATAATTACAAAATAAAAACAGTAATGATGCATGGGAAATAATCTTGAGTAATGAGTGTATAGTTGGAGGTGTTCTTTGAAGATGGTGTTAATGGTGATTTTAAATGATTAATTTGGAAGGAATACACCAATTTTATTAATAATCCATAATATGTAAATTATAATATCAAAACAACAAGTTTTGATTAAAGAACTGCCATTTTGTCCCCTAGAGGCCACACCAATGAATTATAAGGATGCAAAACTTTAATATTCCATTATCTCCTTCTGTCACTGTGGATACAATTGTCTCATATGAAATGACCCTATCTGTGGAATTCTTCTTTATCCCACTTAAAGGGATTATACAGTACATTTAACCATATGTTTCAGAGGAAAGTGTGGCAAATACATGCAAAAGTAGAAAATAGTATTTGTCGCATGTGTAAAAAATATATCCAACTGGTGACACATTTGCAAGTCTCAAGAGCTCTTTGTAAATGCTGAAAGTAGATAACGATTGACCTTGATTTACTTTGTCTTGCTAATTCTTGCATCTTATCTGATCTTGGAATTATTTTATAAAGCTTTGGAAACTTTATGGGTAAGACACTAAACTGGGTTACATCTCATTTTCTAGAACAACAGCTTCTTCATTTAATTGGAAAAAATGTTCCATCATTTTTTTTTTTACTTTTCTTCCTCCAGACACTAAAACAGAGTTAAAGAGTGTAAAAGCTCCTATTCCAAATGTGAGAAATTGCAAAAGGGGAAATTAGAACATATATCATAGTAGTTATTAAAAAGCTCAGGGGAAGGAAAGAGCAGATGCATCTTCAATTTAGATTTAAGAACTTCAAGAAGACAGGCACAAGAAAATTAGCAGGAAATTGTAGATTCAAAAAGGTGAAGGCCCTGACAGGTTATAAAATTGTGATAGTTTTGAAAATGATTCAAAACTTGACAGCTTGCTTGTGTCTGTGAGACAGGTGTGGAGTAACATGTTAATTCTGCTTGAAACATGCATAACTTCCTGTTATTTGTGCTATTACTCAGTTTGTCGGTAAAGTGTGATGAGAGTATTGTTACTTACTAGTGGAATTAGCATTATTATTTAAAATAAGCTTTCCAACACTGGTCCTGGAGAGCCCCAGTTAAACCAATCTTATAGGCTACCTGCTTCTAAAGATAGCTTCTAAGATGTCTCTACATTGTTGATTTATTAAACAAGTAATCTGTTTAAAAGTGGGAGCTCTGATCACTGAGGGCTGAAGAGTACTCAGAGTTTGGTCCCAAATTATCTCTACTGTACTTTGCTTAATTTCACAAACAACCCACTGAAGAGACCACAGGACTTTTATAAATTTGGTTTAATGGTTTAACGGTGATCTCCATTATGGTGAATTATTTACCAATGGGTTGGAGCTCTTTAAGGAGAAGAGATGGAGACCTCTGATCTTCAGAGTTTGAGGATTCACACAGGGCTCCTTTTTGGTTTTTAGTTCTTTCAGCATTAACACCCACAAACCAAAGAAGACAAACAATGACAAATGACTAATCCAAGAACAGACAAATTACACAGTCAAAATGTTAAGGTACACATCCAGCTTTTCAGGTGCACTCTTCTTCATCTGAGAAAAAGATGGTATAGAAAAACATAGAGTCTGAGCTCTTCCATCTGAGTTTAAAATCATGTTTTGTAATAAATTGGACTTTCATACTATTTCATTTTCTCTGTGTTTTTTAACATACTGTTAATAGTACATCCTTCTTCCACTCTTTTTCAAGCTGTCTGTTTAAAACAGTCTGTAGTTGACCTATCAGTTTCATGTTTGGCCCTAATTTATTTTACATTTCTTTTTAAAAAAAGTTCTGAAAACAGCCTCTGTCACCTGAGAGAAATCACACTGCCCTTTTCAAAAACATAACCAGTAAAATCTTAAGAAATATCTGGTTACCTGTGTAAAATCAAGGTACATTACGAGCAGGAGCTTTCAGAAAAAGTTTGTAACACAGACCTGGTGAAAAACAGATGTCATTCCATTGGGACATAGTTTAGTAAAAAGAGCTTTAAAACAGCATGGAAATCTAAATTAAATTTGTCCCATTTTTTGTTCTTTGAATTTGACATATTTGGCACATTAAGTATTGAACATTAATAAATTAAATGTAATGAATCGACATGAAAGGAAAAAAAATCCATGAGTACAATACTAAAATGTATAGGCAAAAAACTTTCTTTATTCACTAGAGGATTTTTTCATCTATATGTATTAAAAAAGAAAACTAAATTATTAAGTAAACACAACCATATGAAAACTTACTGTACTTTCTTTTAGTAGTATTACTTTAAAAAATAAAATGGTTGTCTTATAATTAGTTTCCTACAGCAGTAGTTTAAGTACTATATCTGTATTTTGTAAAATATTACTATAATATCAACCACAATAATAACAGACCTCATTGCGTGTTCTGAATTGCTTTAAATTTGGTTTCAACATTAAGAATTTAAAGCTGGTGGAACAAACTTATTTTATTTTCAATCTTAAAATATGTATTTATATACTGTAATATGCCATACAAGAATATATTCATAATACATATTGAATATATTCATATTACATTTCCCCTACTGTTTACATTCAGGTTCAGTCCAAATATTCAAAATCCTAAAAGAATTAAGAAAGACAACACGAACATCTTCAGAATCAATGAAATGCAAAACAGAGGGAAAAAGTGGAATATTTGTATTTAAAACTGAGATCAAAAGACACTTCTTTGGGTTGTGGGAGTGTCAAGCCTTGTTGTTGAAGCCCATATCTTGGCTTCTTTCAAGAAATGGCTGTATGAGATCCTTGGATCAGTACTTTTGGGATTTTAGAGAATGTCCTACACTAACAGGCTGAAGAAAGTGGAAACCTTTTAGTTTAAAACAGAGAAAACATCAAAGCTCAATACAAAACAGCTGAGACCACCAAAAGATGCAAATTGAATAGACAAGTTAACTTGTCTATTAATCATGTACAACATATATACTGTATATACTGTACATGTAGTATACACTATTTATACAAAAAGGGATGGAAAAATAATTTTGTAAGCCAGCTAAGATTGTTAGCTGTCATCTGTAGATGGAATGCAGCAATATTGATGGCACAGCCACAATTGCAGAGAAGTGCAATGGTGTTTATTGTGAGGAATTGTGTTCCTAAAGTCAACAACCAAAAAACAAAGTGAAAAATACAAACTTACAAAACTAATTGATTTAAAAAATAGATTGTTATACCCAGCTTCTTTTCTACACTACTCTTCTCCCATCTTGAGGAGTTCCTTTTCTAGGTTAAACTCCTCCCCCTAGAATATTCCACTATAAATAAAAAAAATAATTCTAGAAAATAATGATCAGAATTCTGATATACTGAACACCTTTCTCCAGTGAATACACAATTAAACAATGAACATAGTATTAACAAAAATAAAACATCTGTACTCCTTTTATATATATAAATATTTTTAAAGAAAATACTACCCCTTCTTAATGGTAACTATCGATCGATCCACGCGTGCGCAACACTGAAACAGGCAGTACTAAGCCAGCCCCTGTTGCCATGGCAAGGTCTGGGTCTTACAGGTTGCGGGAGAAACCATTTTGCGGGTGAGAAATCAAAACAAGGTATTAATTTGAAACACGTGAGTTAAACGCCAATATAGTTCAATTCACTCCGAAAACAAAGAAAACGGATGTTTGGGTTGAGTTAATGTTTAATTTTGGCCATAGTGAACAACCTTACTTTACTCTGTGTGTGCACCCACAGAGCAAGCAAAGCAATCCCGGAATTCCAGTCTAAGTTAAGTTTGTTTACGTTGTAAACCAGATGTATCGCCTTTGTTTGGATAGTGAAATGTTTGCGTATGTGTGTGTGTTTGTACATGTGGATATCTCACGACTGTCAGGTTAGCCGGAAACGGAGTCTCCAGTCACATTAGCTACATTTGTATTTAGGTTATCTGAAACACTTTTTTGCTCCCACGACAGAGTGCTTTATCCTCCCAATGATAAACACTACTGGGTCCCACATACTACAGTACATCTCCAGAACCACTCCAGCTGGAACACAAGGAATGAGCAGAGGCTTTTCCCTGGGCTCCACAAAAGCTCGACCTGACCACGAGTGAACATGCATAGGAGCATTCGTATCAAGAACTATAGAAAAGTCCACTCTTTTTGATTATTTTTGATTATCTTGTCCATTTGTCCTGTATGGTTTTGGGTAGTCAGTGGAGGTTAGCTAGGGTGTTCGAAGATGCCAAAGACCGTGTGTTTTGGGTTTTCTTTTGTAGTTGGGTCAGCTCCATTTTGCTCCATTTTGTTTATTTTCTTTTCTTTGGCACCACTCTGGTTCCCTACCCCTGTGTGTTATTGTGTCCTATTACATACCAGTCACGTATTCACCTTACAATCATCACTATTGCACTGACCCTTTTTATCACGCTTCCTAAGTCCCTCACTAGAACCCACCTGCATCCAAAAAGTTTCCTAAATGTTACACCCCTTTACCCCTAGACACGTGGGGTTGTAACATAGACCATTACAGATGAAAAAAATACAAACCTGAGAATATTTGCATAAGATCTCATGAATTAAAAACTCCTTTCTCAATAGACCATATAATAAGATAGCAATGTTCAATATTTCAAATTTAATATTATGTAATTGCAGATTATGTGATGTGCAAAAGTTATTATTCTTTTGCATTTCTTCCACTTTTTACTAGGTTGTAACTGCTTCTGGTTTATTTTGAAAAACCTACTTTCAGTAATAATCAAAATCCAATGCCAGAATGTTCAATAAGTTCAGTAAACATGCAGTTCAATAAACATCTTACACCATTTCCACCTGTATGTTTTATTATTCTGTTACATGAATTTGCTCATTTGAGACAAGCATTAACAGATTGGACTTTGAGTATTTGAAAAGATTAATCAAAAGCTAGTTATGAGGCTAGTAGAATATTTTAAAATAGAATTAAGAATGCTAAGAAATATACAGTGCCTTGCAAATATTCTGATCCTTGGACAATTTTCAAATGTTCTTGTTTTAAAGCTTGCAGATATGACTCTTTGAAGTAGCAATTATAATACACGCAAATGTAAAAAAAGTTAAAAAAAACAAGCAAATATTATGAAAGAAAAATGGGAAAAAAATATGATTGTGCAAATATTCATATCTTTTGTTGTGGCAATCTTAAATTAATTTAGATGCATACAATTACTTAAACAAGCCACACAATTAGTTGACTAGCATCTGTGTCCTTGTGAAAAAAATCAGAAGTAGGAATGAAAACGGCTGTCTCTGTGAGGTTCTTTGGTCAGGTAGTGACTTTCAAGCAGTCATAGAAAAGAACAGGTAAGCTGAGTTTACTTAGTTATCAAGTAATGGATGGTGCATCAAACTAAAAAGGCAGAAAAGTAGGAAACTTGTGAGGGGTGCTACTGTTAAGCCAATAATTCAAAGAAATACTGGTTAATTGTAACAGACTGAAAGCTGCACACTAACTGGGGATGATCCTGTAGTTATTACAGAGCTCTGTACAAAGCTAGTCTGCCAGGTAAATACCAATTGCAATGAACATGGCGGCTGATTAGTCCCTCACTATGTGTTAAGAATGTTCTCAATGTTCTTAATTGCAATGAGGCCAAAGTGATAGCTGTTGCCCCTAGAGGATATCAAAGTACCAGTCTAAATCACTTGTACCCGTGCTTTAAATTAAACAATTTAGTACCACATTAAGCAGGCGCTGGATCATATAGTAAAGTTCCAGAATGTTAGTGGCATCTTATTACTGAAATAGATAGATACTTTATTGATCCCGTGAGGGAAATTGCAGTGCAACAGCAGCTTAACACACACACAACACAGCCACAGTGTAACGAATTATATAATAATAGTACAATACATGCAATACAATACAAGAGTTACTCACAGTCCGGACACACAAGAGGAAACTAGAACAGAACAGTACACAGAAAATCGTATCACACGTATGAATATAAATATAGATGTAACCATAGATATAAATATAAATATAAATGTATTGCACAGGTCCCTGGCATATATTGCACAAAAGTGGTTGTAAACGGGAAAAAGAAAAAGAAAGCGAACAGATGTAGCAGTAGATGTGTATATGCGTTTAGTCCAGAAACAGGTCACTGTCGCTGTTGCCTCTGCCAAGACGCAAGGTGGATGCGTTGTACAGTCTTATGGCAGACGGCAGACGGCAAGAATGACAGACGGCAAGAATGACCTCCTGTAGCGCTCCCTGTCGCACCATGGATGAATCAGTCTATTGCTGAACGTGCTCTTCATTCCTGCAAGCCTGTCATAGAGGGGATGGGAGAAGTTGTCCATGATGGCCTCTAGTTTGGACATCATTCTCCTCTCAGCCACTACCTCCAAGGGGTCCAGGTCAGACCCAATGACAGAGCTTGCTCTTCTGATGAGCTTGTTCAGCCTTTTGGAATCTACTGCTCTAATCCCAGAGCCCCAGCACACCACTGCGTAGAAAATGGCACTCGCTACCACCGACTGATAAAACATGCTTTATATTATTAACAACAAATAATATTGTTGTTACTTAATGATTACATCATTTGTTGCTGAGAAATTTAACATTCAACTAAAATTGCATTCCAACCACATTATAATAGACCTACTGTATGCCTCGTGTTCTAATGCACATAGAGGTTGTAGTATCTGATAATGAGTTTTGAAATATATACATATTCTGTGGAGGAAAGCAAGCTGAAATTGAGGCAAGTACATACAGTACAAGTAAACTCCACATGATTCTTAAGTGAGTTCAATCACATCTGGGTGTGTGACGGGGCAACTCACTGGTGGTGCTTAGGGAGAGCAGGGGTTGCATTGGGTACAATATGTTATATTGCAGTTCTTCAGAACTCCTTATTCTCTTTCTTATGTTTTCCAATAATGACAGTATAGAATCCACCATTCTGTTGTCTTGGAGATAGAATAGTTGGTTCATCCCAGTTGATAGCAAAGTTGTGGAGAACTGCACACAACACAGTGATGCTGCTGTCTGTTACGGGTACTCAGACCAAAGGAGAGACAGGCAAAACGCTGTATTAAAATGTAAAAGCTCTCAATATGGGTTTTTGTTTTTTAGGACTCTGTTATATCACAGTTCTGTATGATGTGTGCAGGGATGCAATGACTGCAGTGAATTTGTGAACAACACTGTAAACTGCTCTCATGTACATTCATGGTCCATGAATGAAAGTAATTAAGGTGAACATAATTACATCATGGTAGTCAAAGCTTTCCAAACAAAAATCCACTGGAAACTTCTAAACCATAAATTTCCCCCCTCGCAATCATACTATACTGTACAACAGACATTTAATGTTATTTTCTTCTTGCTTTCAGGGTCAAGACTTAGAAATGAAGTGTTATGTTTTGGGATTTAAAAATAATATTAATTATTATTAGTTGTTAAGAGTTACAATTTTCTCCATAAACAGAGTACATTTAAAGTGTACAAGCTCAGATTTTCAGATGTTTTTTGAACTCAGGTAGATGTGTACAGAATTTTCATGTTACTTTTTAAACCACACATTTCTTACAAAACAAACATATCTTTTAAGTTTTACCAACATTTCAAAGCAACTCATTTGATCACAGTACCATTACAAAATAATTAATTCTTCTGCTATATTATTCTTCTACTGTTCTTCTTCTACTCTACTTCAGCTTTCTCCGTGTCAGAATCCCTCGGGATTGTGCTGCATTAACTCAGAAGATAAGTGAGCAATTGCTACAAATTCAAATCTACAAGTTAAAAAAAACATTGGTTGTCTATCCAGTGTAGCCACTGTTACAGAAACTATCATGCTGAAAATGTTGAAATCCTACATCCTGTGATTACTAGAATCTTGCTATGGTCCAGACCTTTTCTTTCTGAAACTTGATTTTCAGACCAGGCAACCTCAGAGGCCTCTGATATCAGAAGTTTGAACCAATAGCAGGGTTCTCCTGGGATACTGGGGGAGGAGACATTGGGTTGGTACCACTGGGGAGCCAAGAGCATTGTAGAAACTTCAATGGAAGTCAGGAATAAAAAGAAAAGAAGTATAGCAGTACCCAAGGTCCTTTCTCTAATTAACAGTATTTGCATATATTTATAGAATCTAATTAGTATTTTTCAATAGTTTGTTTTCCCTTAATATGAATATTTCCTTTTCATTATCATGTTTCATACACAAGAATTATTTTAAAGGATCAAAATTTGTTTTGTTGTCCCTCAGATCCTGGTCTATACGTGGATACTGTATCTTCACAGCTGCATTATGAATATTGATAGACTGGAGCAAAAAATTGCCAAAATTATGCACTGGAGTTCTTTGCTTATATAAATTTGTTTTTATAAAAAACTAATTTGCATCAGCAAGGTAAAAAAAATCAGAAGGTGAATTGGCCTCTCATTCATTCAGACTCCTGCTGTTTCTTGAACAAATATTCCACATCATGTAGTTCAGTCCATATATCCACAATGGGTATATCAAGTCAGCATCTGCTTGAAAGGAAAAAAAATATAAAGAAATAATATATAGTTAAAATTATTAATTTATTAAAAATATTAATGTTTCAAACTGAATTATTACAGGTAAATGGTGAAATCTGTTTTATTTATAGACACAGTATACTATAGTGTATGCATTCAAATGTATCAGTGTCTGCCACAAATACATTTAAACATAAAATAATAATAAATAATATTAATAATAAAATTTCAATAATAAACGTTCATCAGCATTATTAATGAAACACATTAAAAACTGTTAACAATCAAATATGTTTCAATTTAGATTCATGGTGGACATAGTAATAAGAATAGATGTTTAATATGTTTTTCTTTCTTTATAATAACAAACTGCCACCATTAGGAAAAGGGATACCCCATATATTGTATATTTAAAGCATCTCTTAGTGTACAGATACCCATTTTTAAATGGAGACACGTGAGCTGCATTAAAATTCATTTTAATGTACCTGGTTGCAAATGTTGTGTTTTGTGTTTTTACAGTATGTGACATACTGTATACAGCACTAGTATTTCTGAAAATGAGGATAGAGTTTGAACAGGTTTTGGTGCTTTGATACGGTGCTCTAATAACTAAGAGCACTATCACTGTGATACAGATAATAACTATCACTTGTGATACAGATACAGTATACAGTATCTTTCTCCCCTTGTGTTGGATATTTTATCTCTCAGCATTCCCTTCTTTGATTGTTACTTCACCTGCTTTGAATCCCTGTTCTTTATGGAATTGCCCTTTACAATTATTTTTACATTTAGTCCAACATTCTGCTTGATAACCTGGCCCTATCTGTACTTGTCAGATCCTAGGACTCAATTCATTATTGTTACAACCCAAAAGAAAAACACAAAAATGAGGCACTAAAGTATAATTTCAAACAGGAAAAGTACTGATAAATGAGAAGAATTCTTGTCTCCATGTAGGTCCAAAGAATATATCTTTCCTGTCATAAGAATTACAGCAAGACAGCTCCCAACACATAAGAGTGCTTTATTACAATCTCCGTGATCAAATAACTGTTGGCTGATTTATATCACTAGACCCATTTTCTTTCCGAAAAGAAAGGGAATACTGCGTGAAAGATTTCTAATCCAATGCTTAGCTATTATTTCTGAAGGCTCTCATATATCCCATTTTCTGTGATAGGTAAGATATAAAGCAACAAGAATAGTGGGGGAGTAATTTTATATTAACCAAACTACATGGCAAAAGAATACCTAAGGGAAACAAATTTACTGATCCTTAGCCGCAGTCTTGCTAACACAAATAGTGTTATCAAAATTCACACTAGAGTTTTTTTCACTTTGGTTTGTTTGGAGAGCAGTGTGAACCACAAAATTACACTGGGAAACAAATTGCAGGTAAATGTCCATCTCTCTTGTAAATGCGCATCACATAGTGATAAGGTCAGAAGAGCTCTATTTGTCCTCTCAACTTTATACAGTAAGTCTAGAACTAGAAATAGTTTTAAAATACTTAATTTAGTTTGCCAGAAGACCAACTCCCCCTTAAGTAGAAAATCTTTTTTTCATTATTCATAACAGTAATAATTGTCCCAACTGTCTTGTCTGAAATGACTCTTTATGTCATGTTATTTACCAAACTGCTTTATACCATACAGTGTCACAGGAAGCCGGAGCGTACCCGTCAAGCAACGAGCACAAGACAGGGTACAACGTGGACACCGCTCCAGCGCAGAGCAAGTACAAGCCAATCATACTTGGGGACAATTTGGAGGCCACGGTAAAGGCCAAGTTAAAGTTGACCCAGACACTGGGATAACTCTATACTCTTATAATGGTTTAGTCATTTGTGTTGGATGTTGGTGCATTTTATTTAGCATTAAAATGATTACTGCAGTTTTATTTCTCAAAAGCATCATAACACAAGATGGATACAGAATGCCTTTAAGTTGACTATTAATATTTAAATACTTTATGCAAATTAAAAAAGGAGTTAAAAAGAGATGTTAAGATTCAGAAAGTTCTTGCCTGTCCTTGGGATGTTGGTCCATCATTAGTTACCATACATCACAAAAAAAGACTCTAGCTTATTGTATTACATGACCAGAATATTCAAAGAATGTTTTTTTTTTTATATTTCCTTTCAATTGAAGGAAATGCTGGCTTGAGTAACCACTTTGGTTATATGGACTGACTGCACATTGTGGAACTGAATTCCCTAGGTCTTGTTTAAGAAATGAGCATGCTCTTGATCAAAAAGCTACAAGAAACTGAATAAGAAGCCAGATCACCTCCTGTAATTATTTTACCTTAATTTTTCTCATTTGTTTTGCAAAAAAAAATGAAGAACTTAGATGCATAAATCTGTCATTTTTTTCTTCAGTCTGTCAACATTCATAATGCAGCTGAGGACTGCGGAAATGTGACTATGGATCTTGATATCTTCACCTCTGCATTTTGCAAGTGGTGGATGATTTCACTGACAGTTGCTGTTTAGTGATCACTGTTTTCCTTGACAGTTCTGATACCTTTGCTGTCATCACCTGCAGGTGTTTTTCGTGGCTGATTGTTTTTATACCTGTGATTTATTTTTTCAAAAGCATGTTCCAAATGGATGATTTTAGTATGTTCAGTTTATGTACTATGGATCTGATTGAATTTTTCTATTCTTTCAGCTTCTGCAACATATTGTAAGAATGTTCAAATCTCTTTTATAAGTGCTTAATTACATAACAAAAACACCTGACCAAGAAGAGACTCCCTATCAGTCAAGTGTTTCAATACAAATCAAGAAATTCACTACTATCATTTTGTGTTAACCCTAAAGGGTAGGACTGAATTATTTTATTAAAAATAAAATCCTAGGTGGTAGTTATCAGATTTAAGATTAATAATTTTTTAATAAGAAATATAATTTTTTAAAAGAAGTTCAGGAGTAAGGTTAAATCCTGATCTTGCCTACTTCTGCTATCCTACCTTATGTTTATATACAGTATCTTTCCTTATGCACTCCTCCCGCCACCCCATGTACACCCTGACAGCTACTCCCTGGCTCATTCCTTGCCGAAATAAGGAGGTGTATTTAGAGTTTATAGTGAAATAATTTTCTTTAGCGATTAAATCATATTCTTAGTATTACAAGTGGCAAGAGAAATGGGTAAAGGACACACGAATGATTCATCTTCTATTTCAAGTCACTTTGAATCTATTAATAACATGTGCTTTGGTTTTATTGAGGTTGTACCTGTTGAAACAAAATGCGCTGAGCCCCTCTTTACAATTTTATACTCAAGAATTATTTACTACCAAAATTATTTGTTCTATAAATGTACTTCTCAAACAGAGAATAAAATCAATAATAATAAAATCAAATTATAACAATATGTATAGTACATCATAATTAAAAGTAGTCCATTATGAAGGTGTAGGAGAAATCAGGGACTCAAGAAATAATCAATAATTCATACACAATTACACAAGTAATTTCTCTGTACGCAGCTCAATATAATTAGGATTTTTGAAAGAAAAACTTTAAGTTAACAATAGTTTCATGATTCCTTATTTAGACACTACTTTTATTTGTAATTAATGCTCATGTTTCCAGAGAGCTCGGTCTTTATGAGCGTCTCTTGAGGCACAGATGAGCCGAGACTATGGAAGATTGAGCTTGAACTCTGCTAAGAAGATTGAAACGGTTGTCCACTGTGGGATGCCACCCTACGATATTCCGGACAGAAGGTGAGAGCTTAACCTCTTTTATAAGCGGATGATGGGAGAAATTTGATACACATATAAAATAAATTATATATAAAGGTTTGGGGCTTATAATGTAAGCTTTAGCATGCTCAACCACCAAAACCAGCAGAGGTCCACAGTACCATATGTTTCTGTTTGTGTTCCTGTGGTGATGTAATCGCTTGTGACTGCTACATGCATGTGAAAGGACAAGAGGCTGCTGGGGGAAGAAGAAAGTGCACTTTAAGAGAGAAGATGTCAGTTGGCCTCCGGTCAGCTGGAGCTGATTGAATATGACAAGTGTTGTAGCTGCTCGTGGTAATGGATGTCTCCGCTACAGTAGAGAGGAGGTGAAAAGGATTTAATTCCCAGAGAAAGAAGGAAACATGAGCCATTATTTAATTACTGTCTAATATGAAACTCCCTCAGAATCCCCTGTTGATTTATAGGCCTGTCTTATCCTTTCTTTATTAATGAACAATCTGGGCCTTTTAAATCCACTGTGGCTTACTATAGCTTCCCCAGACGGCATTATGTTACAGGGAGCATACACTATTATGCTTCTTATGAGGAAATTTGATACATATTTGGCTTTGTTCTTTAATGTATGTTTACAATTTATAATTGTAGGTGGAGCAAAAATATTTCCCAGCAAAGTAAAGTTGACTGGATAACAAGACTTGCTTAAGGGTGTATCAATACTGTACATTCTTTGAGTTTGGTGGGATGCTCTTTTATGCTGAGGAAAGCTGAAACCTTATGGAGATATACAGTACTTTTTTGATACAATGTGTGTATCCCTTCTTTTGATTAATTCCATTCTAGCCATAAGTACGTCAGTCACAGAGCTCATGATAGGAATGTTTTTTTTAGAAATAATGCTTTTGAAGGCGCCACAGCAATTTATTGTCAATAATTAAAATATTTAATAGTTTGCAGCTTTAAGGGCAATTTTCAAAGGATGACATTTTAATTGAAAACAAGTTTTGATTATTTCTTATAAAATGTTACTGTTATTTTCCTTTTGCTGTTTTCTGCAACTATATTATTTTTGGGAGGCTTTTCATGACTGTCCATACTTCAAAACTAATCCTTTCGACTCTAGAAGAGGAAACAAATTATACACATTTTTTAACTTTAAAAAATACAGATTTATTTGAAAAAAAAAAGATTTAATATGAGTGAATTTGACTTTTTTTCTAGAATAGGTGTAACTTGAAATCTGGATGTTGTAAAATTACGTCAACCCAAAAACCCCCCAAAAAATCAGAAAATCTTTACAGAGCCTGCCAGTTGGTCGATAGGGCATAAAATCTCATATGTAGGCAGACAGCTCTAAACCAACCCCTTTTACTTACTGTCAGACTTTAATCACATTTCACTGTGGGGAGCTCCTAAAGCTTTTTCATTTGCATTGAAATCTGTTGCCTTTCTCCCCGTCTTCTTTCCTTGAAAGAAGCTTAAATAATTCAATAAAAATGCACACATGACTAGCGATTACAGGACTGCTTGGGAATCTTGGAGCAAATGAACCATAATAGTAGGAATTAAAACTTCCCTTTAGGTCATCAAGAGGATTATGGATTTACTTTAATGTCCTATAAAATAGTAAATGTTAGTCCTCGTGGTTTGATAATTATAAATGTTAAAGATGCCCCCACTAAAAGATAGCTGAAAAAAAACAGCATTTTTGACATTTGTTTTGGGTAGTTATTTACAGGAGCAGAATACAAATAAGCTCCTGAATGAGCAAAAGGTTGAGTTCAAAGTCATGTGACATGATTTGTCATGTAGTTATTTTTATTCATTTCCATCTTTGTTTAGTTAGCTATCAAGCTAACATTGTTGGTTTCCAAATTAAAAGATACAAATGCTGCATTTCAAATTTGTAAGATTCAGCATGTTGGTATACTTTGTGAACCTTATTTCTGCTTATTCACAGATTTATAATATACAAATATCTCAATGATACAGCACTTCATGCTGACTTGAAACATTATCTCACTATGACATTGGCACTGTTATCCTGCTATCTCTGTATTAAATATAAAAACACACCAGAATCTCTTCATATGAGATAGCTATTACTTCATTGATAATACTGAATGTTTCTTGGAGAAGTAACATATAAATGAGATCTTAGATTTCAGACATTTACATTTCAAAATGGTGTTCAATATGAAAAGATTCTGCTGTTTAGTTTAATGTGAACCAAGTCAATATGTACTACTGGCATAAGCTTAATGGTTTTAGTATAATCATTCATAATCTGTGAGACTGGAAGGGTTAAAGCAAATGATTGCATATTTGTTCAACTCTAGAAATTTAAAATTTAGACAATGATTGCTTCAGTTTTGAAAGATGAATTTGGACAACCTGTGTCGGACTTTACTCGGTCTGTTCATCAGGGGCTGCTGTTCCAAAGTGAGGCAAATAAGTGACAGAATGCTTTTTTTGCCTTACTGATTACAGCAGTGAAGCCTGTGTGCCGCAGGCAGATATCTGAAACCCAGCACAGCCTATACTAACACCTGCAAGTTCTCAGACACATGGTTCATCTGCCACACTACATTATGTGACAGGTTTATGTGATGCAATACTGGACACCTATATTGACTTAATATTTAGACTTTACTACTGAATCATCGCAGCATAGTTAAGATGTCATTTACTTATTTGACTGGGTGTTTCGCTTATTTTTGAATACTTCAAAAAACTGAAAACTCTAAAACAAATAAATAGGTGAAAAAACTGTATCCTGTTAATCATAGGTGTCTTGGGTAAATTAATACCCACTCTTCTATTTGTTGCATAAGCACAAACTCTTTTAAAATCAGATTTACCCAAAGACAGTTTAAACAAAAAAATCCTTCAGAAACATAAGTGGTACTCATCTATTGGTTTAAGGGAGCTCTACATTTGCACATATACTGAAGTTAAGATTAAAACTAAATGTGTTCATCATTTGATTTGCTTGAGTAGCATTTGGATTGTGGCTGTCAAACTTTAAAAACCTGTTGTCCCTCTGAAACACCTTTGGTCTTTCAGCAACCCTACTGCATGCTTCTTACAAAGGACAAACATCCTTTACATTGTACTTCCCCATTTTTCAGGCTTTGCACGTATACGATTACTGAATTTATCCTCAACATTTTTATATAAACTGGACAAAAATGGTAATCAAAAGGTAACTTGAATACCGGAACATATCACCTTCACTGAGAACAAAAGGTACATTAGGGAAAAGTATTCTTTTTGGTATTATCATAGGCTTTTATTATTAAATGTGAAACAAGTACTGGATGCAAGTATTTGTGTTTATGGAAAAAAATGTGTATAACCTTACCATCGCTAGAGCCATGTACAACATAATCAAACTAGTAATCAAATCCTAACACCTGCTGCACTGTAATAAAGCCAAACAAAGAGGTATTTCATTAGATGTTGCAGCTGTGAAGGATTGGCAAATGCTGTAAGTTTGGGTGTTGTTTTCTTTGTACTTAAAGGTTTTTGTTACTTTTTTAAAGAAATAAAAGGTCAAATTAGTCTCACACTCTGTCTCCCATTGACAATGTAAATCCTAATGACAAACAAAGAAGAGTCTGTAAGCTTTCAAAAGTAAGTGCAGAAATGATGTAAACCAGATAAAATTCTAATTTTACATGGAAACCAAACTTTACAGAGCATAATGACATATTCTACTATATTGAGAGAACACATACTTTGGACTTCCTGTTGTTTTTGTTTGTCTGGCTGATTGTTTAGAAGTAAGGATGTTAGCATTCCATTTTAGACACCATAACAGAATTTGTCAAACACATTATAGTACATTATAATATTTAAAAATGTGCAAAAGTAATGATAACAGATGGCAGACTCCTAAAAATCATTTTGGAAAAGATTACCATTTTAAAACAAAGTGCTGCATGCACATCAAGGGAATAACATGAAGATTTACACCTAAGTGTGTAAAAAAGGGAATTTCTTCAGTTGATGAGGAGATATAGCAGCAAAAAATGGTAAAGCACAATGGAGCTATTCAGGAATTGAGAATCAGATACCACATACAGGAAATGTGCAGTAAATTCAAGGAGTGAACACTAAAAATAGAGTTATAAACCTGTTTAGTTTCAGCCAAATCATTTCTGGTACACTATACAGACATCCCACGGGATGTCTTGTCTCTCAGCAATGAAGGGAAGGATACTGTATATTGATGGGAATTATATTATTCTACAGGGCTCAGAAGCGTTTCAACAGTCAAAACCAGTTGCTCCTATACAGGTTGAGCTCTATGGTTCAGATTTAGCGAGTGTGAATCCAAGCCTGGGTCATGTCCTTAGCCAATTGTTTCCCCAAGAGACAGTGCACAACGGGAAGAATTCCGTTCTGGGGTAGAATCAGGGTTAGGTGTGCAGGCTTCTCTTGTAACACCCTGTGAAACTGCAGTTTTGCATTGGCACCTGTGAGCTTGTCAGTCCATCTTCTCACTATGCAGAACAGGAGTCACTGCTTGGTGACCAGAGACTCACCAAATCGGATAGATATGACATGAAAACGTCAAACTTTGTAGACATCAGTTGATATCTTAAGAAAGAAATAATGTTGGAATCGTTCATTCTTGAACTCTGAATCAATGAAAATGTGTAGCGGCAGGCCATCTGCTTTTTTTAAATCTGCGGTACAAGACCCCCAAAGACAAAGTTAAGGATGGTGTTGTTGATTGATGAAACTCTCACTAATAAAACTGCAACATCACAGGATTTGATTAACTATGAAATAGGCTGCAGGGGTCACTGCTGTGAAGCAAGATAGAGATTCCCTGGTGAACTACAAACCAACTCAATCCAGGAGGCACCTGGAAAACTGTTTAGTGGTGATGGTATACTTAAGGAATCCAGATCATAGTCAGATAATGACATTGCCCAGATTTGAAGCTGGTGAGGTCTGGACTCCTGTGCTCAGGTTGAGCCTTTGAGCCACTTGGGAGCCCTCCTCAGAGGAAAGCTTGAGAGAAATTATTTTATCAGTGACCCAACCTTAAGAACGAGCAGGCTTTCCAAACTGAGTATCATAATAACAATGTTTTCAAAATTGTAAATTTTATAAAAAGTTACTAGTGAAAGCACACATCACTCACTCTACATTTGCAGAATTTAGATGAGTTTAAAATTTCAAGAAAGTTTAACCGACATTTGAATATTTAACTATACTGAATGGATAAGGTGAAACAGTAAGTATAAGAAGGCATGATTTTGTACATATACTGTAGTATCCTACCACAGCCTACTGTATACTTCGGTAATGGAAAGACAATGAAAATAGTAACTAAAGAAAAAAAACTCCATTCCATTATATAACACTTTTTACCTCAAGAAGAAATTCTTAATTTTTGAAGTTGCATCTCATTTTTTAACAATAAACAATTCTAGTACTTTTGGCTGCAATTGATTCACCTTTATGTTTTCTCCCTACCCTTTCGGTTCCCCATTCCAGTCCTGTGTGATTGCCATCAGATTCTACCATCTGTGGAATTGCCCCTTTTGCAATGAGAAGCTACCCCAGACTTTCTGTATTGTAAGTCATTACTGACTGTGGAACATGATAGCTTAAACAATTTTACACCATAATTCTCCACAAAGATTTGTAATAGTGGGTCATGGCTGATGTAAAAAAGAGAGGGACGTATCTTAAAAGGTCATAGACAGTAAGTAATTTTGATTTGATATTTGGGACCATCATGTGCAAGTACAGTACTTCACTTCCACATGATCTCGTCCATCTTTTCTTTTTATCCCAGTCGACTCCGACTTCCATATCATCCGTGTATTACACTTACTCAGCTATGTGATTGAAGACGATACTTTGGCTGGATGAGATGCTCACATTAACTAAATTCTTTGCACAATACATTTTATACATGGCGTATACATTTGTGACATAAAAGATTGCAATGGCTGTTTTTGTAAATCTTGAAATCTAAGTAAAAAAGGTTCTATATAAAGTACATTGGCTCTTAACAAAGAGCCTCTTGTTACTAATTACAATTTTCAGTTTGTCTTCCTGTGTATGCCACTAGTGTATAAATATTCATGAAAATAAATTCCAGTTTGTAAGACATTAATATACACTGTATACCCTAACAAAACTGATTATGTAGAATTTCAGTACAGAATTGAAAAAATCCATTTTTTTCCTGTCTTATACTAACTTGCTAAAAGTGCTAAATGATTGCTTGTATTGTATCCTGTAAGCCTGTAGTTTGTAATTCGTCTATGTGGTATTTTGTGCCAGCAGGCTTCCTTTGTCTGATCTGTTGTAGTTTTTTATATCTAATAAACTTTATTTTATGTAGCACCTTTAAAGATAGCATCTCAAAACACTTTACAGTTGGTGTAAAAACAGTTATAAGGATAGAAATGTGCAAAGTAAGTATGCATAAAAAACACAAGCTGTTAGAGGTACAGCAGAAGTTAGAAAATGGAGCAGACACAGACACCAATAACGTAAACCTTTCTGAACGGAAAAGGTTTTGAGTTTTGATTTACTGTAAATGCACTAAGAGTAGGTAACTCTCTGATATCCTTGGTCTGATATTCTTCGAATTCCAGAGCTTTGGGATGTACTGTAGCAAGAGAAGACCCTGTCATCCATGGAATGTAAGTGAACTTGAGGGGCATCTAGAAGACCAGAGTCAGACGAACGAAGGTTGTGAGACCGGGAGTAGACATAATAAGTCAGACAGGTAATGAAGTGCCAAGCCACATAGAGCCTTATAGATGAGCATCATGGGGATGTTCAAGTCGAATCCAGCCTTCAAACCTAATGCAAAGCCAATGCAAGGACTCCAAGGACGTAGTCTGGCGATATTTCTGGGATAGTAGAATGATGTTTTTTACAAACATATGTAGAGTATCATACACAAAATACTAATTTCATCTTATGCATCTTCCTCCACCCCATCAAAGGATGAATCAAATGAAAAACTTATTTGGGCACATGGACAGGTTTTTCTTTTAAAACTGCTTCTTATTGTAATTTTTGTTTGTGGAAAAAACATTTGTCGAAGACTTGAAGCAAAGATTTGTGAATAAGTGGAAATATCTTGTTATGCCTAAAGGATATGCTTCTTCCATAGTCCTTAAATATAATAATGTGTTATTATGGAGATATTTTATGCGCAAGAAACATAACAACAACTGCTTAATCATCCGTCTTATCTTGTTTTCACAATTACTGCCGGCACGGGAAGATATTCCAATCTAGATTGCCTTATACATTTAACTAATACCAAGAACAGACCAATTACACATGACACGCACCTGCTTTCATCTTTTAATTAAAGCTCATAAGGTTACGTTTTGGCAGGAAAGATGAATTTATTAAAGGAGTAACTACCAGGGTATGTTGATTTTGATGTTACTTAAGCTCCAAAGCAATTCACTCTTTTCAGCATCAGCAACACACAAGTGCCAGAGCATTCCCAAAAAGTTAATTATGAATAGGGTGGTAGCATTACCTTTGATCTAATTCCATAACCTGATACTCCTACTATTCCTACAACTCTAGCACTTATTTTTACATGTGCCTTCACAGGAGGTGCAGTTATTTCAGTAGCTAAGTTACCTCAGTCCCAGTTTGCAATTAAATAAGCACACAACAGCATTTATAAACCTTTTTGTTAGGTTAGGGGCATGGTTCACAGTTCATCAGGATTGGGGGGTTTGTTACTAATGTGCAATTAATCTAGTAACAGTAGAAGCTGGTTGGTATCACATTTACTCTGTGTCATTCTATAAATAGTTTATTATTAACTTCTTACCTAAGTTGTTATAATGCAGAAATAGTTTATCCCATAATATTTAGCTTCTACTGCATGATCACAAGTAGTAACTCTGCATTTTACAGAATCTTGCAACTATATGAGCATACACAGTCAGTCAACTGCTGACTCAAACTTCTTAGAGCTCTGCTGTAACCTCAACTTTATATCTGTATCCTGAAAAATGTTATATGCAGGCTTTAATTGTGCTCAATCCTCATTTCTGATCTGGTATCTTTTCTTATACAAAATCTCTTTGTGTCCCTTCCAGGTATTAGATCAACCTTCCTAAAATCAAATTGGTAAGATACAAATGTAAGCAAAAAAACTGAAAAAAATATTTTTCCTGCAGTGTCACAGATACAGTACAAATATAGATCAGGAGTATGTACATTTACACAAAGATAGACATACAAATGCCAGACAGAAAGAAGAAACAAACCAACTGTTGTTTAACTGTAGCACTTAGAGTCATGACATTTGGCTAAGTTTGAAGTCATTGAGATATCCTGAAGTCCAGAAATACCATAGAGGTACATTAACTTCATGACTGGGATTTAAAAGAGCAAATGTCCCAAACACTTCTGTTAATAGAAGTCTCCATATTTTTGTAGATTTTTGTTTTGTATTGTTACGGTAAAATGCATCTAATAGTACAGTACAATACAACAATTTTCATAATTATACAGTACTTTTACATTTTAATTTTACATTCAAAAGCTTGTAAACCACCATATGCATTACAAAAGATATTATTGTTTTTCTTAGTTTACCTGTAACTGAGCCACAATTGTTTATTTATACCGCAGGTTAGGAAGGGCCTAATTTATTAATAGATTCCATTTAGAACACATTATATGGAATTTCCGGCAAGGGGATACAGTGGTACAGTGGCATTTCTGGCTTGTAGCACTGTGGCCCTGGATTCAGTTTAATGAGTACTATCTGCATGGAGTTTGTTAGTTCTCTCCCTCTTTGCATGGATATCCTCTGGGTGCTCTGGTTTCCCTGGATAGGTGCAGTCTCCCCTGCAACCCTGTATTGGATAAAGCATTTAGAAAATGGATGAATGGATGGATTTTCAACCCCAAATCTAAAGTGTTATTTTCGGGATATTTTACTTATGGATTTTTTGCTGCCGTTATTGCTGACATTTAACGTCTTTCAAAATGTTAATTTTGAGCATTCACGTTTTGATTAAAGACACCGAATATCCTTTAAGCAAAGAAGTGGAAGTGGCATAATATAACCGAACACTGCCTAAATTAGTCATCCCTGAAAGCGTAACAGCCAGACAAGGAGGAAACTCATTAAACCCATTACAACTTTGAAAGAGGAACTGTACATCGGTGAGATGTGAGAAAATGGCCGTGTGTCAAAGCTGGCTTGTATGACAGAATGGTATGAAGGAAGCCATTACTAAAAAAAAAACACTTCAAATCTCACAAAGCATTACATGTGGCAAAAGGTTTTGTGATGAAATGAGGCAAAACAGGAACATTTTGGTCTAAAAGAAAAGTGTTACATCTGGCGCAAACCCAGTACAGTGGACCACCTAGTCAGCCCATCTCTGCTGTCAGGCATGGTGGTAGCTGCGTTGTATTATGAGGCAGCTTCTGATCAGCAGAGATTGTCAAGACAAGGGTTGAAATGGTCAGAGCAAAATACAGGTAAATCTGAGAGGAAAACCTACTGTGGTCTCCTAATGAACCAAATTGACCTTGTCAATGTCCTGACTTAAAATAAATAAAAAATCTGTGGACGTATTTGAAAATTGGTGTCCATCAATGATCCCCAACCCATTATACAAATCTTGAGCAAGTTTTAAGAGAAGATGGCTGAAGGTTATGCCATACCAGGGTGCAGAATTGGTCAAGATTGATCTGAAAAGACTTGCCATAGGTGCTTCCACCTGCTATTGACTCGAGGCAATCAATACTTAGCAATCAATAAATTTTAGCTTTGTATTTTATGTTGCCTTTATTGCTGATATTTAATTTATTTCATGCACATAAGTGTCAATTTTGTAATTCAATAATATGGGACATCATCGGAAGGGAATCAATGGTTTGCAATACACTATACCTAAAAGAAAGCAGTGAAGCATTACTCACACTCAGTAAACATACACTGAATTGTTTTGTCCAGAAATTGCTAACAAAATAAAAGACATTGTCATATTTAAAAATAACATCTATTCTGTTATGCAAAGATGTTCAGAGACCAGAATGATCTTGTTAAGCTATTAACTGACAAGTTCTGGATTGATCATGGGTGCTTCCTGTCAGTTCATAAGTGAGTCTACTTATGGCAAACAGGTGGACCTTGAATGTGCTATAGTTTCCACATTTCCCTCAGTACATTTCCCAGGGTGTGTTTCATGGATTTGCTGAGGTGTGATTAAAATGTTCTATGACTTTTTATTGTGTGAAAATATTGCATTTTTAAATACAGATTCACTTGTACAGAATGCACTTGTAACCATACATGTCACACTTTTTGCATTTCATAAGAGTTTACAAAAAAATCAGAAAGGGGCAAAAAGCTCGTATATTCCACTGGCATATCAAAAGTAATTATTCTGTCACGACCTCTCCAAATCCCATCTTCCTGCAACTGAATCAGTTAGTGTTACATCACTAATAACTAAGAGGTAAAAACATGCCGAGTGTTTCTTTCTAATGGCTCTTTTCATTGATGGTCAAAGTTAGATTTTTTTCAAAATATAATCATATTATTTTATAGTATAATTACAGGAGAATATAATTGTGTGTGAAGACCTAATCACATCAGAACAGGAGGAGACTGCAGTTCATTTACATCATGAATAAGAACTCAGAAAATTGCAATCTCTATTAAATAATTAAGAACCCAAATTAATGGGCTATATAGCCTTTTTGGACAGACCATTCTTCATAGAATTACACAGTACATCACTGAGATTTTAAAACTTATTCAAACTAATAATTGATTAAGAAAGAAAAAATCGAACCCTCAGTAAGTTATGACTCCATACAAAGTCTATAGTGAAAATATATTTTAGAATAGGTAGGACTCTTAATTTGAGAGTTCTAGTTAACTTCCACTGTGTATTATTACATTTTAATTTATCTGAATCTTTTTACAAGAAATGTGTTCAACGATGCTCTGTATGACATGCAATATTTAATCATTGATGGTTTTACCTGTCATGGAGGCATTTCTAGTGCTATTTCCAAGTCTTAACACAAATAATCTCTCTTTCATTTTCCTGTTAATATTGATTTAAACTATTTAAAATCTTTTAATCTTTGATTAAACATAATTTATTTAATCTTATTCAGATTGATAAAACTTCTGACAACAAGTTGAAGTTTCCTGTGCTACATATTCATTTGCCAGGAAACTGACATACAAAAATATACTATATCTTGATGCCAAGAAACATTTCCCTCATTCATCAACATTATTGAAATATATTGCATTCGGCTCTGTTTTCATATGTGAATAAACATCCGATTTTTATTAGATCAGTGCAAGCGTACTGAGACTTCACTAATTCCTTACGTAAAAGAACAGTTGACGTTACATCTCCCACTGACTAGACAAGGCAGATAAATGGTCTTAGACATAAGGACTGGAAAAGGGTTTCTATTCAGCACAGTGGGAGCTGGATATTTTCCATCTACCAGGATTAGTTAATCAAATATGTTCTTTCAAGGAATCTTGGGCACTATAAGCATTAAAACACTTTAACAGGCATAAAGAGAGGCAATGGGAAATCATGTTCACTGGCTGATTATTTGACTTCTTAAAAGCTCTTTTTTAGAAACTCTTTTGAGATCAAATCATATTATTACGTACTGTGCTAAAATGGGCCTTCATGTCTAACATTTCAATGTTCGCTGAATAAAATTGGGAGGTTAAAAATTTGCAGGACCATGAAGAAGAGAATAAATAAGTGGTGACCATATACTCTGGTGACTACTGTCTATGCTATCCTGACTTACTTTTTTAATTTCTGTTCTTCCCTACTTCACATTTATACTACATCTTTATATCCATCCACCTTCTCCACTCTATTAGCAATATCCAGCCCTTGCTGTATGTAACCTTTCATGCCAAGTTGTCTTCCTCCTTGCACCCTTATGGTGGAAATGCCAACAGGCATCAGATACTAAATACACAATTGCAGGGAAAAAACATAAGACAGGAAAAAGACTTTTAGTTTGTAAGCCATGGAGAGGACATATGTAGAGAAGTATGGAGATGTATGTACATTTCCCAGTGAAGTTTAGCAGGAATGTTTTGAATGTGAGTCTATTAGGGGGTGAGGAGGGCAGGAAAGATGAGGAATATATGTACTGTAACTGACTAAACTAAAATAAATTGTAATGGATATCTTTTTTGTCTGCTTTGAACCCAACTATCACCATAAAAGAGCACATAGATACCCTGGAAAACTGTCGCATCTCTAAGGATTTTTTTAGAAAACACAAAAATCATGAAATCATTGTTTTCCACACTCATACTGCCACTCAGTTTCTTCTTGTTTCATTCAGATGCCTGGATTTGCCACCTAGTTTCACAGCCCCTGTAATGAAAAGTGTTTGATAACAGCTAGAAATGTTTGTGTGATTGCCAGTTCTCTATTACATGTTAAAAGAAACTGCATAATTGTATTATGAACGTGCACGCTCATATGCTTCATGTAAAAAATCTTTTGGTTTTTTACAGTGTAGAATCTTAAATTAAAATTTCCCATTTAACATCAAGTCTGTTTAACCTTCACCATTCTGCTGAGATTCACCTGAGAAAAGAAGATTAAAAGCAGGAGATCTTGCTTAAGACTGAATAATGTTTTACAAGACAATGCTGCCAGGCGTTTGAGCTCTAGAGAACAACCTGAGCAATTTTCCACTGACCTTGCTGTCAACAAGAGATTTCTCTGAATTTATAGGTCTCATTTAGTTTTTTTTTAATGTTTTTTTTTCAATTGCAGAATTAAAAAAAAGTAAATCGTAATATAGTAGATATTACAAAATTGTCTTAAGTCTTGTTTTTGTGAATGAGACTTTATTCACATAGAACATCACAGTAAAGTGTACTTAGTATTCTAATGAAAGAAATTAGAACAGATTATCAAGTCCCAAGGTGAACACACTGTCTGGTAACTAAATGAGCCTGGGGCTAAATGACAGACATGTGGACATATCAATCAACTGCTAGGGAGTTCATTTCTTTCTCTCTCAGTTAACTAAAGCTCCGGTATGTCTTGTGGATAGAGGGTACAGGCCTCTCACACAAGAGTCTCAAACTCTCCCCAGGCCAGGGGAGCTTATATAACAACTTACCAACATGTTACAGGGAAATCACAACTGTAAAAAAATATTTTTATTCAAAATGGAGAATAAGAATACAATTTCTTAACAAAAATATAGCGTATCCAGTACAGAGAAATCCCAGTTTTGAAATATCATGCAGTAATGAAAATCCATCCAGTACCTGCATCCAGTGAACAGTCTTCATTAAGGTCCCTTGACTTTCCCCTTTTTAAAAAGCAGCAAATGTATTGGGTACGTAAAGAATCTCTTTTTTGTGACCTTCCTTGTGGGACCAATGTATTCCTATCAAGAAATGCACTAAAGGGAGTGTCAT